TTTATGTATTAAAATTTTTAAAAATCGAGTAAAATAATACTTAATTACTTCCATAAACTAATAATATACAACTTTTTATGTTACTATATCACCTAAACTACTGTATGGTAATGCTTATGGAGACTACATATAATTTTTAAAATTTTGTTCCTTGAGGAGAAAACAGTTAAATCTGGTTTAAGAGATTCTTAAAGTGTAATTCTCAATTAAAATATTAACAGTTGAAAAGACACTGACGATGGGAAAAAAGAAGGTATGATTTTTTCAATTTTTATAGTAAATAAATTCTGGTCCCCAATCCACACTACTTGGGGTTTACCGACAGCATTTTCCATGCAGGATGATGTAACACCACAATTATAAAATCTTTTTTAATACCATTCATTCTGTCTAATAATACTTATCTATTATTAATTTTACATATTAAAAAATTATAAATAAAAAGGTAATTTTACTGTATCACCATTTGAATATATTTAATACAATGTTTTGAAAAATATAATAGGAAAATGATTATAATTAATAATAAGAATAAATTAGAAATTAAGTATAAAATTATTCATTAATTCCATAAAGTGGACAAGTATTATTGGATATCTTAATATGGTATTGTTGGATAGAGAGAGTAATAATAACTACACCCAAAAAAGTTAAAGTTAAATATATGTTTCTTCATTTCATATTATTTGGCTCTGGTTAATCTGACATAATTTCTAAATAAAATTTTAATTAGAGATATATTTTAAATTAACCTTATTAATGTTGTTTTAGATCTTGAATTGAACTAATACTACTACTTTTATGTAGTTACTATTTAATACAAATGGTATTAAGAGAAAAGGAATAATAAATATTTTTTGATTAGTTAAAATTGATAAATAAAATAAAATAAATATTTTTAATATAAAAATAAGATAAGATAAAGCAGAGGAAGTATTATATTATATTCATCTACTTAACAGTAACTTGAACCTAAGTTAAGGTTATTATATACATAGAATTTTGGCCAATATATTCAAGTCACAAAATTAAACTGGAACATAAAGGGCTTGTTCGACCGCTGTCATACGACTATTAATAATGTAATTATTTATATTTTACTTATTTTATCTTCCATTTTATATATAATTGTATATAAATATCAGTAGGGGGGGCTCAATCCTAAAGTTACGGATAGATAATTAAATTTACAGTTACTTTCTACTTCTTAATTTATCTAATTCACTTCAATTTGAATCAATCATATTTTAAAATTGACTTTATAAGACTATCTTTAATTCTTTAAAGTGTCTCTTAGACATTTCAAGCTTAAAATAATTAGATAAATAATTAAATTTAAAAAGACATAATATAATATGAATACTTGAACAAAAAGGTTTATGTTGTTAACGTTTCTTGATTGGAGTTGCTACAAAAATATTCTCTATTGTATTATTTATGTGACAAAAAAAGGAGATTATGTGTAGGACGTATACGTTAGCCTAAAATTGATATAGGCCAACACACAAAAGCAAAATATAATGCCCCAACCTAATCACGTCTATGCCACGTGAAGTGCATATGCAACTTATATGGTGGTCATTTTATTCATGTGTCCTTATATATATATAATGTCCTCCTTTTGCATGATAGGATATGATTGTCCCAATAAATAGGCAAATGATCATAAAATTGACACTCCTAGGAGCCATTTATTTTTAATTTGTTCTCTTTATGTTGTGTGACCACCACCACCACACAATCTTATGGCCTATACCGCCAAAAAAAAGAAGAAATTTATCAAGAATTTTGCATAACACCTATCTTGTCTAAGATAGAAAAAAGAAAAAGTTGGGAGACAAAAGTACACCAATCAAACAAAGAAATCTATAAATTGACAAAATTAGTGATTGCTTAAAGAAAATTAACTGTTTGATTAAAAGAAGGGGACAAAACTCATAAAATCTAACCACGAAAAATATTAAAAGTGGCTTTACTACTTGTCGAAGAAAGAATAAAAAAATATAAAAACAAATAAAAAATCAACTATCTTTTATTTGAAGACGAAAATACCCTTGCTAATGTTTCCAATAGATTATTCATGCATTCTATTCTGGTCATAGTAAACATAAAATTGTAGAGATTATGGTTTAACTAATTTCTTCAATACCAAAAAGGGAAATTCTAGAGATTATATGTGGATGGAGGGTATTGTTGTCATAAATTTGATAGGCCAATAGGAGAGGGGAATTGGGGCATTTGGTTCTAGGATCAGGATGTCATGTGGGGGCATGGGGCAGGGAAGAAAGACATTATATTATCTTGTAGGTTTGATCAAATATTATTATTAGGATCTAGCTAGTAGGGAAGTTATGATATTATTGACATAAAAAGACAAAACCATATGAAATAAAGAGACATATATAGCTCAATTCTTACAACTAGAAGTTACAATTCAAGAGGAGTAATTTGCTGTCAAGCTTGCCTTATATGAATTTTAAATCGGTATAGGAGAAAAAAGCTGAAGGCTTATAAGTATTGGTGGAGTCACATGTACATAAAAGAGATGTCAAATGATATTATTTTATTGAAAAATTATACTAGATAACAAGGTAAATATTTCGTTATTGTTTCTTCATGAATTCTGTTAACTAGTTATTATTTCATCGGAGAAGGGTCTAAAATGCCCCTCAAATATTTAAATTAATACAAAATTACCCTCTATCCACCTATTGGCCCTAAAATATCCCTGACGTCCACCTTTCGGCTCAAAAATATCCTTATGTCTAACGGATCGGATCACACTCATTAGGTGGATGGAGAGTAATATTGTACCGAATCTCGTAATTTAAGGCATTTTAGGACCTTTTCCATTAAAATAATCACCTAATTTACTTGATTTTGAATTTCATAGTAAATTTAAAATTATAAAAAGGTTAGACATCTACTCTCTAAACTACTCCCTCCCTGGCCCTTCACTTCCCATCTCTTCCATTTTTTTTCTATTTGGATCTTGTCCATAATTTTTATATATTTATGACAAACGAGAGAGAAAAAAAAGGAGAAAAATAACGATGCATTCATATAAAAATAATTAGTTCAATAAAAGATGACTTAATCAAGCAAATATGTACAAATATTATATATTTTGTGTGTACCCAAAATTAAAAATAAAAGCATAAAAACAATCATTTCTTTTACCCCACCCTCATCACATCATGACAATAATACTAATTAAAAGAATATAAATATGTGAGTTCATTTCAAGTTTGAGTTTCGGATATCTTAATTAAGAATAAGAAATTAAAATAAGGAATAAAAGAGAAAATGAACAAGACATTTGGATAATTGAGAGAAAATTTTATATTAATGAAAATAATAATATTTTTAGATGGACAATCAGTCAGGGTAAGTATAGATTTTAGTTGGATCCCCATTTATTAGTTGGGTTACGTTATAATAAATTGGGGTTGATTTAAAATAGGTCAATACGAAGATATCATGAAATTATTTTTTCAATATTATTTTCAAGTGTATCGGGTCAAAATATGAATCATAAGTGGTTTTTATAGAAAATTAGAATTTTTTAAAATATCATTTTTATTATTTATTTGAGAAGGGTTTAAAATTTGGACCAAATCACATTAAGCAATATAATAAATAAATATTTAATAATTTTACTTTTAGGAAGCTATTAAAAATAAGGGCAAATATGAGTCAAAGGATTAACATCAAGGGTATTTTTGAGCCAAAAGATGGACGTCAAGGGTATTTTAGGGCCGTTAGGTGGATGGAGGATAGTTTTGTACTAATTCAAATACTTGAGGGGCATTTTAGACCCTTCTCCATTATTTCACTAATTTATATTATAATTATCCAATTTATTAAGCATATTTTAAAATAAACTCACTTCTTAATACATAGTAGACAATATACCTAACTAATAATAATTATATCAAAATCTAGAGTATTGTAAGTATATTTAATGGACTAAAAGATTATTTTATTAAGTCAATAAAAATATTTATATGTGTTTGATTTGTTCGATATATACACAATGTACTAGCATAAAAAATTAGAACTATAACATTTTCATAATCAAGATAAATTTTGTTTAATTTTGTGCTAGAACCATAGATATAGTTTGTCCAATTTCCATCTTTAGTTGTGGACATAAACTTTATACTTATAAGAATCGATAGTTATCTTCTACAGATCCGTTAAAATAGTGTACGCCAAATGATCTACTAAATACAGCCAATCTATTATTTGTATAAATCTTTATTAAAACTAAATAAATAATTATTTATTAATAATTGGTTAAATACTTGTTTAATAGTATATATTCCAAATGCAAATTCTCATTTTGACTTTTAATTATGACAATATTAAAACATTATCTTATCTAAACACATGACTAATGATATATACCCAAACAACGTTGCGACGCTAATGGTTATACTATAAAGGGAGAAAGAATGTCTCATATGTGTGGGAAAGACTATTAGAGATGGATGCCTTAACGTGCAGTAATAATTTGATCCATAGTGGAGTACATTGTTTTTATTTCAATTTATTTAATTTGAGAGACAGAGTCAGAATTAAGAATTTAGGGGTTCTAAAATTTAGGAAAGAAGAGAAAAATATTTTCGAACCTAGAGCACTAGTTCGGAAAGCATTTCCATGACCCCTTCCTTATCATTGAATCGTCAATCAATTTTGTTAGGATAATCACAGGTTAATATACATATAATTTCTCATACAAATACAAAATTTACGGAAAAGCTAATCTGTTCGTCCGAGTATATCTATGTTATGGATTAAATTTTGCCTAGAGGACATGATGGTCCATTAAACTTTTGATCTTTCGTTTGTCCAATGATAGTCTACTCTATCCATTGCTTGCTTTCATTTCTTGTCCCCTTCCTTATATCGACACCACCACTTCCCCAAAACCACTCAAATTTTACAGTCTTTCATTTCTATATACATATTTATTATTTCTTCCCAGCATTCCTTGTCTATATATATTCTTCTCATTTTCATCACCTCTTCACAACTAAATTCCAATTCCTCTTCTTCAATTCCAATAACTCCTAATTTTCTACTACTATGCCTTCAATAATTTCATCAGAAAAACAACTCGATTTGTACTCGATTAAAGAATTACCCGAATCACATGCATGGAGATCCTCGTTAGACGATGATGGATCGCGTAATATTAATGTGGAGTCTATTCCAGTAATCGATCTAAACGATGATAAATTTGCTATCGATAGAATTGGCCATGCATGCAAAACATGGGGCGCGTTCCAAATTATAAACCACAATATTTCTCAACGATTACTTAACGATATGGAAACGTGCGGGACTCGACTATTTTCCCTTCCGATGCAGCAAAAATTAAAAGCAGCTCGATCGTCCGATGGCATCGCTGGCTATGGGGTTGCTCGAATTTCTTCTTTTTTCTCTAAGCTCATGTGGTCCGAAGGATTCACAATTTTTGGCTCCCCTCTTGAACATGCCCGCCAACTTTGGCCACACAATTACAATAAATTTTGGTACTTTAATTAATCCCAATGATATATACTATCTATCCGTTGAAAATATTAAGTTCACGCACTAATTATTATTTTCTTAATAACTATTTCGTCTCTTTAATAATGAATTTTTCAGTGACGTCATCGAAGAGTACGAAAATGAAATGGAAAAGCTAGCGGGAAGACTAATGGGTTTAATGCTTGGGTCCCTTGGAATAACAAAAGAAGATGTGAAATGGGCCGTTGGCCCAAGAAGCGGTTGTTCGGCCCTACAACTAAATTCTTACCCGGCTTGTCCGGATCCGGATCGGGCTATGGGTCTTGCTGCACATACGGATTCTACCATATTAACAATCCTTCACCAAAACAATACAAGTGGTTTACAAGTATTTAGAGAAGGAAACGGGTGGGTAACGGTTCCTCCGCTTTGCGGGGCGTTAGTTATCAACGTGGGTGATTTGTTACACATATTGTCAAACGGGTTGTACCCGAGTGTTCTACATCGGGCGGTTGTGAACAGGACAAGACATCGTCTTTCGGTGGCCTATCTATATGGGCCACCGTCAGGGGTGAAAATTTCACCTCTATCGAAATTGGTAGATCAAAGGAACCCTCCAATGTATAGGCCAGTGACGTGGAGTGAGTATTTGGGAACTAAGGCAAAACATTTCGACAAGGCACTTTCATCTGTTCGGCTCTGCGCTCCTCGTATTGGATTTGCCAATTCTAAAGATCAAAGTGGTGTCCAAGTAGGCTAATATAACTACAAGTCCCCACTTTTTTTTTTGTTTCTGAAAATAGATATCTACTTGTGTTCCTTTTTGACCCATTGGAAGAATTCTGGTCAATCTTTATCTTTATGAGAACTTTTATAAAGAGGCATGTGTAGCTTTAGGTCAGCAGATTCGTCTTAATTCATTATTTCCATCCAGAACATAATTTTTATATTTAGAGTTCTATCATAGATATGAACATTTAACTTTAAAAACATATTTGGATTTAATCTTAAAAACTAAATGATAAGATATGTACAAATAATCTTTTATATATAATAACATAGAAATTAGACATACATATATTGTATAACACATTGGACAAAATGAAGGGTTCCCATAGAAATGGGGCGCTTACTAGTACTAGAGGATAAGTTAAAGGTCAATCAATCATATACATCATTCAAAAAAAATGAGATGCAAACAAGGAACAAGGTGTGTTGGCACTTCTGTCGCGCGCGGTGGGTGGATAGAGGGAAGATGGATGAGTTTGAATATTAGGGCGCACTCTGCCCCGGTTACAGTTACAACATCGCTTGACTAAACACAAAGTTTGTTCTTATTAAAGTTACTTTAATACTTATTTTTATGGTTATCAAATTGCTTATTAAAATCACTTTAATAATTACATTTAGTTGACTTTTCTTCACAATAAAGTGTCAAGTGGGGACGATTGAATAAATAGTAATTAGAAGACATAAGAAGAAACATGTTTTTAGTGATGTTACGTTACAACTTACCAAATACAAAGACGAGGACAAGATTAAATAGATTAGATCAAACATTACGACGGCATAGCGGCAAATCAATCTTTCTTAAAAAATAATAATAATAGCAACCAAACATCACACATAGAAGAAAACAAAAGCCCACCATCGTAATGAGAAACATTAGTCATTAATGTATTATTACGGCGTACAAGTCGGTGTTAATTTAGGTTGGTGTGTTTGTGTTTACCTCAACAAGTGATGTTGTGCTAACACCGTACCCACTCTTAAAGATAGCTATAGAGATGGCAGACACTCCCATATCCCTCCAACAATTACATACTAGTAGTGATTCTCTTAAGAAATCATGTGCCTTTTTTTTCTCCACAAAATATAATATATGCCAAACCCCAAACCAAAAAACACCTTTGTCTTCACACATGCAATTTTTTTTTTTTGTAAAGATAATGTTAAGTCTTGATTGGACCGTGAGAGTTGTGTTCTCAATTATTCCTGCCCCTTCTGTAGGATGAAAAATCAAGTGGGACTCGATCATATTCAGGTGAAATAATATTGGATAGATGACAACTTTCAATAATTCAATATGGGTATACCAGTATGTTATTTATGTATACAAGAGTAATTTACCTATAGTAGATTGAGGTAACAAGTAAGATTTATCACAAGTATACTTGAACAATATCTAATACCGCATTTCGATTGAAAATCATTGATTTTCTTCTCCTATTCGGAAATTCCTTTTTGTTTCTTTCCAAGTTTCTGATATACACTTTTGACAATTTGATCGAGGTTATGTGGCTTTTGAAAGAATTTTCATTATGAGGAAAAATATTTCCTATCGAAGTTATTTCGGGAGATTAAATAAGAGATATCTGATTAAGAATATAGAGGAGTGCTTCATCTCACTGTAACCTTTCGTAGTAATTAAATCATATAAGAGACCAACAAACAACTTATTAATTAAAAGAAAACAAAAATAGATATTAATTGGTTTCTTCAGTGATTAGATTTTATATTGTCACATCGTTTTGTCATGTGATTTTGTTGTGCTTAAATCATTGAAAAAGTCATTTCCGATTTAAGCAATATACTCGATTATCTAACAACAAAGTCGTTGTAGTATAGTGGTAAGTATTCCCGCCTGTCACGCGGGTGACCCGGGTTCGATCCCCGGCAGCGGCGCTTAAACTTTTTTATTTTGCCGTGCCCAAGTAATGCTTGGTGACAGATTGATCTACTGGTCAGCTTTGGTAAAAAATTTCAAGATTGTTTACTACATTTTTGGTTAAAATTGTGGCAATCTTTCTTGTCCCATCTGAGCATTAGTCCTAGCTAAGTCACACTGCTCTGAGATCCATTACAAAGTTTTCATTTTTAGTGCTCTTGCATGAAGTAAGGTATTCTAGTAACAGTAATCTTCACATGTTCCTTTATGTGCCTAACAGAACAAATCTATTAGACATCATGGGCACTAAGCTAATCTATGTTGCTCGGATTCTTCAAAAATTGTCACCAAGAGAGTGGTCTGAGCAACATAGAAGCTAGTAATATTTGGAAAGGGCCTACGATAACATGATTATCAAGAACCATTTCATGGTCAAAGACCAGTAAGAATGTTTGTTAAATTATTGGAACATCTCATGCATGATGGACTCTTTAAGTAAATTATGTACCTCATTATCAGACAGGTAAAAACATATTTCAGAAAAGAAACAATTCCGCAAGAAACTGCTCAAAATGTACATACAACAAGTCAGTAAGATCTCAGTCAGTCGACATCCCGGTTTTTGACACCCGAGGTAAGTTCAGCTTCAGCAGAAGGTAACCTCTCATAAACTCGGGACCCAACTGGTAGAAGCTTAATCTTGCCCAGTCTAAGTGTTTGGCTAAGCTTCTCATAGTTCCACCTCTGCTGAATATACACAACAACTCCCAGTACAACTGCAGCCACTGGTATGGCAATGTCTCCAAACTTGGTGTAAAAATCAAACCTGGGGTTCACAAACTCGTATTCTTCGGAGAAATAGGGATTGGGAACAGGAGATCTGATGTAATCATACACATGAGGCAGAAGTCTAACGGACGTAAGTCCAATATAATATAGCTTCCTAAGTGGTTTGCAATGGATTTGCCAAACAAGGTTGCCTATTACTTGAGGAAGCAAAAAGAAATCTTGAATCAAACCCATGTACTCCTCCAATTCAGTTTCCCATTCCCTCAAGGTGTGGAAATTTCCAGTGGAATCTACGTAACGTTCAGCATGAAGAGGTTTCTGGCTTGTATTATAGGAGTGGATAAACAGAACAATCATATATCCAACAGCATGTATTACCAGTGTACTGAGAAGTACCCACTTGTCACTTGGAACACGATGTGGTTCAAGAGGGCTCCTTGCCAATAATCTGATACGGGATCTCCACACCTTTTGGCTGAGCCTCGCTGTTACTAAAAAGGCAACAAGCACAAGAACCTTGACAGTATAATCAATCAGACGAATCCACTGGCTGTTGTCAAGATCATAAGACGGAGTCTCATTGATTTCAGAACCCATCATTTTGAACAAAGCCTCTGCACCTGTGATCAAAGGCAGTCCGTAGCCAAGAGCTTGGACACCTAGCATGGCAAGCGAGACATACGGAACTGATTCCGCATTATCTCTGATGTAAATTAGTTGGCTGAGAATGCAAAAGATCGCCAGAGAGAGTGTCAAGATGCGGAGGATGCCCTCTACGCCCCTACGGGAAAGAATGTCTTCTCGCTGCTTCCTGTACATAATGGGGAATGTTTGAATGCTTACGGGATTAAAATAGAGAGGATCATCCTCAGTTCTTTGAGAGGATACAGAGATTTTAGCTGTTGGATTGACCAACCAACGAGCAGTGGTTGGTGGGTATGTTATAACCACCTCAATCAGACAATCCAATCCAGCCTCAAGGTCCATACTTTCTGATAGTATTTTCCAGGAGGCTCTAACATCCCTGCAACCAATGAGGTACATCTTTCCAACATGTGGATCATACAGTCCCTCTACGAAAAGCAATGAGATGTTATTGTATGACGTCCCAGTGAGACTAAGTTGAGCAGAAACATTTAAGAGAAGCTGTTTTTCTGTGTATTCAGCCTTAGCATGATAAGAATTCTCTTTTTCACCGATGGAACCATTTGTCAGAGGCCCAAACATTGGACCAAGAGAAAGAATCTCCATTTCAATTTCAACTCTTCGGTTAGCTGAACCAGCAATTTGATCTGCAACTGCTGATGTGTGAAGGGAGAGATCCTCGGAAAGAATCGAAAGGCTGACAGGAAAAGAATCTGCATCTTCCAGTTTTGGGAATGTCAACAGTGATTTCTTAAACATTGAACCAAGGGTAAAGGGCTCATTTTTTTCAAGGACTGTAGCAGCTGCATTGATTTTTGAGTACTTGTAGTATGGAAGAGAAGCAGTATATTGATCCCACAGCTCAACAGGGCGGATCAGTTTCTCAAATGATAAAGGAAAGTAACGCCTACTGCTTCCATCAATACTGGAAAAATGACCAATAATTATGCTCCTTTGTGTTATAGAAAAGGAGAGCGGAACATACAAGCAGATTCGAGAATCACAGTTGCTGTCTTCTGCACCAACTACTCCATGGCAACCAACCATACAAAGCTGTCCACTGGAAGATTTCCAGATTCCCTCAGCAGAAAGAGTCATGTTATTAAGCCCAGTCCTTTGTGCTGCAGTGAACTGATTCTCCAATGGAGATATCACTCCAAACACAGAAGAGACCCTAGAAGAAGTGACATTATCTTTTACAGATATTGTATCACATCGAACATCCTGAAGGACAAGCTTGACGTCCTTAAAACCCCCATCCATGGCATTTATCTCCTTGTCTGATCTGAATGGACCCAATTGACTGCAAAAATCATCTGTACCGTTGCATTTCCAGTTCGGAACAACTGTTAAGGCTTCTTGATGAGTGAATCTTTGAAGAATATAGCAGAAGTCAAGCCCTCTATATGTATTTATCTCAGTACTCAGACTATCTTTGTACGGATATGGATCACAAGCTTTTGACACAAACTTTTCAGAGCCAAATTCGTACTTTGAAGAAGTTCCCAGCCAAGAAGACATATGAACTTCATCAAAGTACTTAAAACTCGTCTTTGGGTTTAAGCTTTTCATGGTTCCTAGAATAGCTCTATTTGTCAGTGTATTTGTTCTAGGATAATGAAGCACGAGCAAAATTCGATCATCTTGCATAAGAGGTGGCTGATTAGTATAACCAGATTCCTTTACCCACTGCCATGGATCAGTCGACTCTTGCTGACGAGAAGGCAACATTGTTGTCCCTAACAAACACATGACTCTTTCCCCTTGATTTTTCTTCGATTCAATGTATACTCCTTCAAAAGTCACAGAAAGCTGGGAATGACTGGGCCAAATATCAAAATGAGGACTTCTCTCGTATGGTTTACTTGAAAACAAGCCATCTAGGGTGATACCAATCTGCAATATCCCACTCACACTAACAGATGTCTTAGACTGATGAGCACGATCAACATTCGTAACCCAAAAAGAAACTAAGTTCAACGGAGATCGAAGATCCGATGATCTGTTTGAAAGATCTCTATCATCAAAAGGCATTATTGAAGCAGCCCCGTTAGACACTTGCCACCAATCTCCATTCAGAAAACTTAATTCATGTTTTATGCTATAGATTCTGTTATCATCAGGTTCCAATTCAGAAGCAGAAGCTAAAACAAAAGCACATTCTTTTTTGACTTCATCAGTTCTTTCGTATTTGTAAGGCATAGAAGTTCTAGTCCTAGGTCCTAACTCACCATCTACCACATAAGAATGAACAAAACCAACAGACAGCAACATCAACCAGATAACAATACTAGCCATTGTCCAAAAAGAAGCAAAAAAAGACATTTCCCCTAACCCCTTAAATCAAGATTCTTCAAGTATTAGTGGAAAACAGAGAAATTCATGACTAACCCTTTTTAGAACTAAGATTGATCTTGCTAAAATCGAAATCAAAACAGAAAAAAAAACTTGGGAACTTATCAAAATCAAGTCTTTGAGATGGGAATTAGTGAATCTTGATGAGGAAATAGCAAGTGCACTTACCTGGTAAACTCAAATCTTCATAGAAAGAGAGAGATAGAACAGGGAATCAAAGGAAAGTGATGATCAATTTGAGAAAAAAGGGAGAAGTTGGTGCTTTGATTTTGATAATTAGGGTAAGTAGAGAGAGTAAGGTGTGAAGTTGAAGTCAAGGCAGCTGATGATGGTGACACTGCTTGAAGTTAAGTCAAATATTTCTTACAACATACTGCTTCCTCGTCCACTTTTAGTTGTTATTATTTTCTTTTTTAAAGTCAAGTTATAAAATACTTTTTATCATATTGATATATAAGAAATTATAATTTAATTATACTCCACTTTTAGTATAATGTTTTAAATATTTAAATTTTTTGCTTAAAATATCGAATAAATATAATCTAATTCAACTTTAAAAATTAATTAAATTGACTTTTGAAAAATAAAACATGACAAATAAAAGTAGATGAATGTAGTATGTGCCAACTCCTTTAATCTCTGTTTTTTTAATTAATGGAGTATTAATATTTTCGTGGGAAAAGAACCAAAAAAGATTCTTAATTAATAAAGCAGATCTCAATTAATCAATTTACCTAATTCTCAGAGGATTACTCTTGAACTACTCATTCAGTTGACTTTTGGTTGTGCATAGTTGAAAAGTACACACCCCTTTAAAAATAAGAAAAAGAAAAAGAAAATATTTTTCTTTTAATATGTTAGAGCGGGCAAGTAAAAGGATTTTTTTTTAATATATTGGATGAGTAAAAATGAATCTATTTATGTTGTAAGTCATAAAAAATGAAGATTATAGAATGATTTTTAAAAAAGAAATCATATTATTTTTCGACAAGGTTTAGAGGTTAAGAGGGATTCCTTCAAACAAATATTTTTAGTGCAAGTATTAACAATTTGGTAGGAGAAAATGAGATTAGTTAGAGTAATAAAAGAAGTGATTTTTTTAAATAAAGAAATAGATTTGAATCTTAGATGGGTGGCCCATGTGAGCTTCATTAGAATCTTAAATGGGATGTATACAGTCTCGAAGAAAATATTAAACAAATTAGATTCGTCTCTTCTCCATTTTTTCCTAATTTTTACCTGAGGGCATGTATATGACATAGATTAAATTTAGTGGTTAAGATTTAATTGATCAAAGTAAATTCTTATAACCACAAGCATATTTATGAATCACTTCCATCAGAGTCACTCTAGTCTTAATGAGCCAACCATGAATAGCTTCTCAAAGGAAGTAGCCATTGTTTTTTTAAAGATAAAGGGTTGTTCCAAAGATGTTGCTCATGAAAGATGCAGTTTTGTATAGGAATGACTGCTCTCAAGACAGCAGAAACAGTCACATAGCTTTGTTTCTGTACTCAAGAGCTTATTGTCATGACCCGCCACTTTGCACGGAGTGTTAGTTGCAGTCTAAGTCCGTGACATAAATATATAGCATCTTTCACTTCAGTCTCCCAGTCTAGGATGAATAATAGTTCCTGATTCAATTGCATCATGCATGCTATGGCACTTTGAAACTACATCAATGTCATTGTTCAAATTCATCTTGACACATGGATTTCAAAGCTATAGATACAAAATAGTAATTTGAGTCATAGCTCAGCTTTGAAATAATATGGACGTTGTCTTATTTTAGCGTCTGATTTTCTAGTTAAACTTCTCTTCCCTCAAAAGTCACCCGTTCGTTAGCCAAGTGAATCAGCATGAGAAAATCACTCTATAGTCCCGTTCTGTGTACATTTCACAGGAGAATCCTTCTTTTTTTTTCACGCCAAGATTGTAAAACAGTGTACACAACTACTCAATCTCCTAGAGGCACATTAATTCTTCAGTAGGCTCAGATTGCTACCTTATGTTTAAATACTCTACTATTTGGAGTGTTATATATGGTTGGAAGACAATCTTCCCTAACTCAAACAAAACGTCTTTCCTGATTCTTCCTTTCCTTAGACCAATCTTTTAGTTCGATTTCATTTCTGAGTTCAGGTTCTTTCCTTTAGTCAGGACCAAACAACAACCACATCGCCTCCTAATTGGTATAGTCACACATTCTGCAAACAAGATCCATATATAACAAACAAATATCGAAGAAATACATAATCTTTTCTCTTGTTTTGGTTGATTTTATCAAAGATATATATATAGCTTATGAAGGATAAGCAATTTTGTACTGATACAATCATGCTAGGAATAGATATACAAAGTTAGCAAATGAACATAAATAATGTCTTCTGAAACATGTTATGGATTGAGACTAGTTTCATCGTTTGATCTCCCAAAGCAACTATCAAAGCAGTCCAATTCCCTCAATTTCAGCAGCAAAAACAGCACAATACCACACCCAAATCCCAATGCTGCACTGGACCCCGTCAATGAAACAGCAGCACAAACCAACATAACAAAAGATTCTTCCTTTGAGTTCATATCCCTTGAAGCCATAGCCAATTCAATCCCAGCGAACAACAGAAGCACCCCTAGTATCCCAATAGGAAACTGATTCAAAATCCTCACAAATGAACTCCCAAATACCAAACCAAGAACCAATTTCCCCAATCCAAGAAACGCCACCGATGCACCACTCCTCCCACCAAATCTGTACTGTCCAGCTAGCCCCCCTGCCCCGTGGCAACACGGCATTGCCCCAAACCAAGAACCAACCAAATTCATTAACCCAACACTCACGGAGACTCTAGTAGCAGACACTTCCTTCTCCGGGAACAAATCAGCTGACAATTTACACACAGCGATCACCGAATTCAATACGGATAACGGAATCTGAGGAATCGCTCCCCGGAGAAATCCGGTTTTCCAATCTTCCCATGTGATTTTCAAAATGTGAATTTTTGATGGGCCAAATTTAATATCGTGAATGATTGAAGGATCACGAACAAAACAGAGGATCAATCCCAGTAAAAACACTATAAGAGCTGCCGGGATTGCTGATAGTGTTCGTAATCTACGCCGAACTCTACGCCGATCGTTCCTGTCTTCATCTTCATCGTCCTCAACAACTTCGCCGGAGCCGGTTACGAGTATAAGAAAAGACACACAAGTGAGAGCCAGAATAACGCCGTCAAGGCCAAGCCACGAACGTGGGGAGGTGGCGCTAGCCTTTGTAGAGGTAAAATCTTGGTTATAACGGATGTATTTGATAGCAGAGAAGGCAAAAGCGAGGCCCTGAGAAAGCTGAACTCCGCGAACAACAGGGAGGGGAATAAAGCGGTAGAAGAAGGACATGAGTCCGGTGACTCCGAGGAATAAAAGTGTGCCGGCGGTGCATATTCCGGCGGCGGCGATTTGGGGAACAGTGAGATGAGGTATTTCAGAGACGGCGACGGCAGCAATAGATTTCATGGGCTGAACAGGCATAGGGATTCCGAAAATTGCACCGGTGATGATGTTATAGAATGCAGTGAAGATAAGGGTAGTGCTGAGGTCAAGATTGCTGACTAATGTGAGTGCTAAGACAATGGGGATGTAGGTGCCTAAATCGCCGACGGAGCCACCAAGTTCGGAGAGTAAGGAGGTTTTCAGGCGGAGAGAGCCGGTGAATGGAAGGGAGGAAAGGCGGCTGCGCCACCAGTTGCGGCGGAGGAGGGGAGTAGTTTGGTCTGCCATTTTTTGCCTGTGGGAGTTGGCAGGGGAGGGACCTGTCAGTGATCACAAATGATGAAAAGAGAGTCAAGATTAAATTTTTTCTAATATAAACTCCCTTTATATTATATAGTAATTCGAATAATTCAAGATTTAAAAAATAATTTATAAATGGATTATATTGAACTTGTAGATAAAAATGCAATTTGATAGGTGACACAAATATTATGGTATGTTTAAAACCGCAGAGGGAAGGTAGTTTCCTAACTTAAACTCATTCATCATCACTTTAGAAACGTTTCAAGTGGTGAAGGTTGGAACTGTTTGTGTGCTTTAAGATGTGTGAAGATGCCGTTGATATTCGAATCTGTGATAGCAGCAGTTGATGTTGATCTACGAGAGCACAAACAAATATCTGTGCAAAATAATTGTAGAACAAGTGTAGAATTTAAGCTGGAGATAAGGAAGGAGTCATGAGAAGTACTAGTGTCGTGCTATTATTACTAATCTAAGGGAGTATGAAAGTGACCTCCCACAGGCCACAATCATCTCTTCACTACACCAAAAGGCAAAGCTGCTTTTTCTTCCGGAACTTGTTGAGTTTTTATCAAGGGGATGGTTGGTTGATTTATTATTTAATAATTTTATGGATGAGTAGGATCGAATTTATAATTTAAAAAACTGCAAAAGGGAGTGAGACAAATACAATTTAAAAAGTTAGCTGTCGAAAGTTATTAGGGGTCGTTTTAGGGTGTATAAAGACAATGTCAAATTGAATGTATTAGTACTATTTGCTTTAATTATACATTGATTTTTTTATGCATTGTTTGATTTACATAAAAATATTTATTTATAAAGATATCTTTGTATTATTAATATCATAGATTTCCATATATTGGTAATGCACACCTTAATACACAATAAAGGGGTCGTTTGATAGAGTGTATTGAAAAATTTTATGCATGCATTAGCCTTGTGTATTACTAGTACCTTGTATGATACTATTTTCCAGCCTATGTATAACTACACTCTATAGTGTATTAAGGTGTGCATTGCTAATACCATGGATCTCTAGGTATTAGCAATGCAATGGTTTTAATGCATGCATTAGCATGATTAAAACCCCAATTACCCCTCAAAACCTTTTTACATCTTTTCCACCATAGTAGTAGAGGATATCTTTGTAAATTAATTTTTTTACGCAATGCATACTATTTTTTTATGCATCAAACCAAACGATACATAAAAATAATCTATATATAATTAATGCAAGTATAACTAATTCATGCATTGCTAATGCAAGCATTACTAATACAAACATTAGTTATACATAGCTTGAAAAAATATACAAAACAAATTATCATTAATACACGTAATTAATTATTTTTGCTAATACGTTCTACTAAACAACCCCTTAATACTTTTGTCAAGGAAAAGAAAATCAAAGGCAAAAGGAAACATGAAATTGGTAGGATCCGAGGAAATCCCAAGCCCACATACGGACTAGACTTTGGACTTGGAATTAGGGCCATTGAGTTTGACAATATTTGGGCTTGGATGGTCCAATTTGATATATGGATAGTCAATCCGCCAACACTTGGACAGGTGCTAGTTGTGGATGAAATTCACAAATAACTATTTTTTGGAACACTAATTTAAACTTTGGGAAAACTGTACAAATTGGATCTATTAAGCAATGTATTTATCTAAGGGTAAACAACACAAATCTCACTAGTTTAGTGCCTAATTACCTCTCTTCCCTTCAGTTTGCATAATTACAAGTCCTACCATATTTTTCATCTCGGATACATGTATCTATCGCATCTAGATACATGTATCTGAGATCCATGTTAGTCAGATACATAACATTAGGCTTATCTAATTAAAGATTGTAACTGACAGCCATAAATTAAGGAGGAATTCACGCTTATAATAATTATGAAATATTTTGACGTATCACAACTTCTAAAAATAATTAAAATTCTGCTATTATTTTTTTGGAGATTCAACAAACTTTACACTTCGTCTTCTTGAATAATTTCGTACATTTTTTGTTCAACAATAGTCAATATCATTATTTTATAAATCTAGATACATAAGTTTGATTGTAGTTCAGATACATAGTGTGAAACTATTATAAATACACTGCCTAACTAATCTAGATACATTTTCTAACTTGTTTAAGATACATATATGATATAAGGCAGTTCAAATACAAAAGTTTTTTTTATTATATCACATATAGTTTGGTGTATATGTTAGATACACTATTTAACATATCTCATTTAATTAAACTGTATATGAGATAATTCAAATACATTAAACTAATAAGTATGACACATACATTATGTTGTTGTTAATATTAGATCAGATACATGTTATATATGTAAGTAATTCAGATACACTATAAAACATGTGTAATATATGAATTAATTAATTGTTGGATACATCCCCTTGTATCTAATATAACACAAGATTCAAAAACCATAAAATCTTAATTAATGCTGATACTTCTTAGATATACATGTATCTAATAAATAACATTGCTATATATTAGATACAAAAAATAAAAAATAACTATATCATATATATGCAATGGTAACTGATATGATATAACACAAGGATTGTAAGATAGATACATAAAGTATACTGTGAATTATGAATAGATTTTGCATTTTTTTTACATAAATATTTGAAACACCATCTTGCTCGACTTGTGTATCTGAGTTTTCAGATGTGGTCCTAGGCCTGTTCTTTAGAAGGGAATCTGGATCCCACCTCCTGGAATCTGTGATGTGCTTAGGTTCCACTTGGAAGAGCCAAAATATAAGATGACTCTACCTGTAGAACCTAGATTTATAGTTCCTTTGTGCCATACAATCAACGTTTATGTGCTTGTTGGATGCAAAGATACAAATTAAGTTGTGTGCATTATCAAGAACTTCTTTTTTGATTATACAAATCGAACAACATATCAGACTTTACCTTATGAGTATCTTGACTTCTCCTCTCCTATGTGCTTGTTTGTATCGGTTGTTCGGGCAGCATGGATGATTTAGTGAAGAAGATTTATGAGGAAGAAGGAAGAAAGAAAGAGAATGAGGAGATGAACTTGGGATAGGAGATTGATGATGACGGAAGAGAGAGTATACAGATGTGGGGGGGGGGGGAGGGGGGGGGGGGGGGGGGGGGGGGGAGATATACGGTTGGCATAGGAGTTTGAGGGACAGTTGTTAATCTTACCTTTAATTAAGGAGTTGGAATTTTAAGATAATTATTCAATACCATATTTAAGGGATTTGTGTATCTGATTTAACTTTTTAAAAATATATGGTATAATTATTAAAAAGTGGTATTATGAGTAATATTTTAAAACTATATGTAAAATATGTATATATGGTAGTTAAGTATGTCTAATTATGTAGTTCTAAAGTAGATGGAATCCAATATATTTAGTCTGATTGGACCCATGTCCTAAACTATATACTCGTCTGCTTCCTCGTTCTATTCACTGAATTACTACTTCATTATCCTTGATACCATTAGAGTATAGTAATTGAACAGTTTTTTCATTGAAACACTAACTCTAATGGTATTACGGAGTAATTGAATAGTGTTTTCACTGAAGCACCGCTTCTTCCTCTCTGATACCATCAGAATGTGCAAATATATACTTTAATGGTATCAAATAGTAAACATGGATTAATAGTTAAAAATAGGAGGTATGAAAGTAAGAGAGTAGCAAAAAGAAAATCATAAGACTAAATAATCAAAACTAAGACAAATAAGTTTTTTTTAAAGCAGAAAAAGAAAATAAAAGGAATCCCCCCTCCTACAATGTGGGTACGACATCGAATTTAGCAAGAGCCTCAGATGTTTGTTGGAATGTACTTGATTTGTCGTACTAAAAAGGAACTTTTCACTTTGACTCTTTACTAGGAGTAATACATTTGTTTCACTTGTTGGTTCGTTTTTAAACTTGTTCAAACTTAAATGATGACCTGTTCTGCAACGTTCCCTTTCTTTGACCAAGTTACCCTTCTGTAGATTACAAACATCTATCCAGCTCAGCTCATATCTGTACTTCACAAGGGTAATATTGTCTTTTTAAATATAGTCAAGACTTCAATGACAAACATCTAAACTTATATGGGAGAGCTGTTAATGTAGGCCAACATATCTAGCCGTTACACTCTCCATCTTTTTAAAAATGACATGACCGTTGGTCTCTCTTTTTGTTTCATCAAAATCACCTAATCCTCTTTGCTCTGTTTTTCTCTTCAGTTCTGATTTTTTCATTCTTCAATTTTTTCTGCAAGAAACAGAGGTTCCCCTCACTCCAATGGCTGGCGATCTTGTTTTTACCCCTGAAGAAATGGTGATTGATCAAGGTCTTGGATACCCAAAAGCCTATGCCAAGATCTGTAAAGATCGAAGCTTTGGCCCCTTCAGCCGCGGCCCTCCTTTCACTTTCACTCCATATGCTCTGCCACAACATGAGGTAACATAAAGACTCAATCTTTTTTTCCAAGATTAACTAGTATTCGCTGCCGAATTTGATTAAATTTATGTTTGGATTACTTAATCTTGCTTGCTCTGGTTCACCATAAAGAGTGGATTTATCTGTTTTCCTGGATTTTTAACACCACCCAGCACCCCCTTCCCCAAATTTGTGTTGAATTTATGGTAGATTTGCTTTTCTTGCTTCTAATTGTTAATTTAGTTGCCACTAGCAGAAGTGGCGAATGTAAGATTTAATTTCGATGGGTTCAAATTTTAAGGATCTTAGCACTGAACTCGTTGAATTTTTGAAATTATGGATTCAGAATTTAATTTGAGTTATATTTCAGTGAGGGAAATACTGGTTTTTTCCCAAAGTGGATATCATAGTTGAATTAAACCTTGTGAATTTGAATCCTTGATTTTCAAGTAGAAGCAGCCAAGTTTCAAATCACTTAACTGATCTTGGAAAACAATAATGTTTCATTTAGAACAAATGAACTTTAGCAGAATTTTGATTGGTATAGGTTTTGAGAGCCAAGGAATTGGATGACATGTTCCCTATCATTGATCCGAATGCACAACCAAACACAAAGACCAAGATTTTTATGTCTCTGTTGTGGAAGCAACTCTGCCACCTCGGGTAAGAATCAATTGTGATGCTATTCTGTTTATCCATACTGAATAACTAGGAAAAGTCTTTCTCATTCTTGATTATGACTTGAACTCCAGGAATGCGGGATTTGATCCTGAAGTATTTCGAGTAGACTCGTATGGCAATGTTCTGTATTATCATGCTGATTCAGCTTCGCCTTTGGCATGGGAAATTGATCACTGGTTTCCTTGCTCCAGTAATTACTCATCATCCTTGTGCTTTACTGCATAGACTTTAACTTATGTACATTGACAAAAAGTTACATTATCAATGATC